GGTCAGAGGGAGAAGCAGGCTCCCCGCTGAGCCGGGAACCCGATGTGGGACTCGATCCCAGGACCCTGGGATCATGACCTGAGCCGAAGGCAGTCGCTTAACCAACTGAGCCACCCAGGCGCCCCATCTGGTTTGCATTTTTAATGCAGCCCTGAGACAAGCCAGCCAGCTGTAGGCTGCTTCACCATAGTGCCTTTGAACAGACTATTCAGGGAAGAATAGAAAAACACCGAAAAAGGAAAGGTTAACTAAGGAGTATTTTCTCAGGTGTAAAGTGAATTTGTCTTCCCGTGTCTGTTGTCTCCAGGTCATCAATGCTAACCTATTGTTGGATGACATATTTTGCCTATCACTCTTACCTGTTAGCTTTTCTTCTGAGTGGTAGTGCCTATGGTTACTTTATCAGAAATAGCCCCCATTTAAAAAGACCCTTATACCAGCAGTCTCAGAGTCATCATTGTTGAGTGTTAACTTTTTCTGTATCACGGCATATGTGAAAGGATTGAGACCCTGACAGTAACAGTGGCTCGCCACAACAGTGATGCTCACACAGGAAGGGTGTAGGGTAGACATTCTCCAACAGGCCTTTCCTTTTTCTCTTCCTCCTCCTCCTATCCATTGGGAGTCACCAATATCACTGTTTGTAGTATGTGGTATATATTTCTGTTTCTGATATGAATTAAACAGGATCCCTCACTTGTTTCTTCAAAAATAATGTCAACCTTCACATTTAATTTGTGAAGTCTCTCATTTGTAAGTGAAATTGGGTGTTTTTTTGGGGGGGGGTTGGTCTAAAAAAGTAATTATTTGTGGATAGGCAAAAGTGGTCTCTTCTTCCAAGAAGCCTCTTTCTCATTCCTGACTCACAGCGCATAACAGCAGTCTTGAAGTGGCCATTCTCATTCAAGGTTACCAATATTTTCCCTTCCCTTAGGAGTCCACACCTTGCTCACCACTCATCTCAGTGCCATTCTCACAGAGAGCCACAGTGTAGTGCAGGATTCCATCCAGGTTGCCGTGGACCAGGCCTTGGAACAGCATCACCAGGCTACCAAGGTAATAAGAAATTCATAACTCCTTGTCTCCTACTCTAAGAAAAAGAACTAGAGGATATGACAGCCTGAGGGCCCTTCCTCCCTTAATGCCTCTTCCTCTTTTGTCACCTTGGCTGATCCTTACATTGCCTCTAGCCTAGGAACTCAAGCTTTAACTTAGGATATGTCACTGTAACCAGCTTGCATAGTCTTACCTCCTAATAGGTGAATTTGAGTAAATAGGGACAAAATAATAGAGAAAAATGACTAATAATGAGCCTTTTCCTTATCTGTCTTCCCTTCCCACACATACTTCTGGAGCTACTGCTTCACTAAATCTTAGATTCTTCCCTCATTTCTAATGCTTTATAACATCACTTTCTCTCTCTTTTTTAAAGATTTTTATTTATTTGAGAGAGAGAGTGAGCAAGAAAGAGCAAGCGAGCATGAGCGGGGGCGGGGGGAGCAGGGGAGAGGGAGAAGCAGACTCCCGCTGAGCAGGGATCCTGATCCTGGGACTCCAGGATCATGACCTGAGCTGAAGGCAGAGGCTTAACCAACTGATCGACCCAGTCACCCCATCATTTTCTCTTCTTATCTGACTTACTGATTTCCTCTATCCTTTATACTTTTGGTAACATATTTCTTAACTTCATGTAGCCCCCCTTTCAGGGAAAAAACCACACTAAGAGAGCAAAGTTTAAAGCTTTTTTTTAATAGTAAGCGCATCTATTTTATTGCCTAGTGTCTCATGGCTTATCTTTTCTGAATGTGTCTGTGTCAATAAGTCATCTCTGTAAAAGAGGAGAACATTTTTCAATCCCTAAGTGTCCTTTATATGGCATGATCTCAGTAAGTATTGTTTATGGAGGGGGAAGAGTTGTTGAAATCCTGCTGTTACTGAAATCTTTGATTCCTTTGGGATTCTCTGAACCAGCAGCTTGGGATTATTATAAACTGCCATCTCTCCTTATTATGTTCTTAGGATCATCAGAAATTGCAGGTCTCACTCTCAGTGGCTGTGAATTCCATAATGAGTATCGTGACTGGAAGCACCAGCAGTAACTTCCGAAAGATCTGTCTCGGTGCCCTTCAAGTTAGTAGGAGATTGGGGCTGCTTAAAAGTGCCAGGGTTTTAATGACATTCTACTTCCTAATGTAGTATTATGTACAGAGCTTTTAGAAACATTATTTCATTTTACCCTACTAAAACACCACAGGCCTGTGGTGTTTTAAGAAATATTTATTGAATGGATAGTTACATGTGTACTATTTTATAAATGAGAAAATAAGTTATCTAAAATTTCTACTTGCTTTAGGTCACATAGCTAGTTACAGTTAGAGCTAAGACTAGACAGTGATTCCCAGTTTCTTATTGAAGAATGTTTTGTTACCTCATGGTGACAGAAAACATTGGAAATAACTGAGTAGCCTTAAGTATTACACATATTTGGCAGTATGGAATAGTGTAACAATTGAAATCAGAGACCTGAGTTCAGTTCTTGGCTCATTTACTTACTGGCTATGTGGACTAAGGCCTGTACTTAATTTTTCTGAGCTTCATCTATAAATTGGAAAAAATAATAGTACGTCAGAAGGTTATTACGAGGGTGAGGGCTAAGTGTGAACATGCATAGCACGTGGTAGGTTCTGAATAAATGTTAGTTTCTTTCCTTTTAGGAATGTGTGCTGACCAATTGGTATTATCAGTGGGGTGACCCATTCATTCCATGTCTGTTGCTTTATTTTTTTTGTACTTTTTTCTTGAAAAAATAGTGTAATACATTCAAAATTTAAAATAATAGCTAATAATATTTATCACTGTATTTAAAAATTTTTGCATATTTTCTCAAGTTATATTGTATAGTTGTAACTGAAGAATTCTATATTCATATATAATTTGACATTTCCCCATTTCAGCTGTTTTAAAATTTGTATCAGTTACCCAGTTCTACTCCATTGGTTTAATCTAATTTAATAAACCATTCCCTTAATGAGAGGCATTTAAGTTGCTTATATTCTTTTTGCCAATATAGATAGTATTTCAGTTAATACCTCTGTGTGATATCTTGCTTCTTCTGAATTATTTCCTAGAATAAATTTCTATAAGTGGATTTACTAGGTCTAAGAGTATAACACCTTTATAATCTAGTGCATCCTACAGCTTCAGCTTTCTGGGTCATGTGGATAGCACAGGGTAATGAGAAGAATGCTACATTGGCAATCCTAAGGTCAGCCCTAACTTTTGTATTAATAAGCCATGAGATCTTAGGTGGGTCACTTCTTTTTGGATTTTAGTTTTCTCATCTATAAAGTTAGTGTATTAGGTGATTACTCTTGTCCCCTTTAACTCTAATATCCTGCAATTCTACTAAAATATAGAGGTTATTACCCATTCCTTATGGATGCTATTATCTTCTTCCTTTCTTCCCTAAAAGCCTTATCTGAGGGGAAGTTCTTATATCAGCCTTAGTTGAATATAGTGGAACCTCTGCTCTCCTGGAACTTGTTTTAGAGGAAAGCAGTTTATATAACCCCTTTATGAACAGATAGATCTCTGGGATATGTATTTCCTATAGAGATAGGAGAACAAAGGCCTTGTGTGAAAGATCTTGCTTAGGTAACAGAAATTGGAAGACCTAGGAGCCACATCTACCTATCTCATGCCATGTATCCCAGGCCTTCTCTCTACTCCTGTATCCATAGGAGTTAAGGATACTCCTAACATAACATGAGGGATGTCAGTGGTTTGCCTTCCTATTTGTCTCATCCTCTTCCCATATCCTGTGGGTACCTTCCTTTTGGTTGCCAGTACTGGAATTCAGCATGTTTCATCTCTGACCCATTTTAGGCAGCTGACACTCAAGAGTTTGGGACCAAACTGCATAAATCATTTCATGAGATCACCCGGCACCGATTTCTTCCCTACTGCTCATGTGAGATGAAGCAGGTAAGTATAAAGTAATAATCAGTACTTTGGTGGAAATCTTCCATATTGATGTGTGGGAACTCTGAATACAGGGTAGTTAGGTGCAGGTACTTTAGTTTGCACAATCTGAGGTTAGCTTTCAGCAAGGAAGCCTATGGTTTAGGAAAACTTTATAGAATATAGTATTACACAGAGATCAAGAGCATGGCTAGATGTTGCTCAAATTCCATTTCTGCCACTAACTAGTTATGTAGTATTGTGAAAGCTATTTAATCTTTCTAAGCCTTAGTTTCTTTATCAATAAAATAGAAATGATGCATACCTAAAATGATTGTTGTGAGGTTTGAATAAAATAATGTATGTAGAGTGCTGAGCACATAGCTACCATTACAATGGTGATGATACAGTGGAGTATTTATGTTTAGTTTTGTCTAATCAAAACCATACTTTATTCACCTTTCTGGATGCTGGAGATAGAGAATTGCATTAGTTGGGGTCTCCACCCTCAAGGAGCTCAAACAACTTCATCTGGTTTTGTGACAGACTCCTCTAATGAGTGAAAGAATCGTAGCTGGGAAATTCTCTAGATCTCCAGATTCCAGGTATAGCTGATAATGGTGTTCCAAGTAAAGCCCACTCTCTGGCTCTCTTTGCTCCAATCGGTAGGACTGGCTTTTGTGGAACTAAAGGATAATATGAGAAAATAAAGGAGATCACGGGTGATATTATTATACAGTGGCTTCTGGCCAAGATGGAGTGACAGGAACTAGATTTACTCTCCTGACTGAAATAACAAAAATCCAGACACAACATATAAAACAATGGTTCTCAAGACATTGGGCATCAATGAATAGAATAGTCTTTCCTGAGACATGGAAAATAAATGAAGTGAAGTGAGCCCTAGGATTACCCTAACATACTGCCTAGAGAAAGTACAGAGGCCATTGAACAAGGAGAAGGTATCTAAGCAAAGCCTAGTGGTCTCCCTGAGTTGAATAGATGAACCTGGGAGTTCCAGGATGCCAAGGCAGCTAAAGTTTTCAGGGTAGAGTACCAGAAAAGAGAGAGCTCCATAGAGAGAGAATTCTGGGAATCTGCAGGGTTCCTTCTCTTTTATTCAGATGAGAATGAATCAGCTCATTCTTGTGAAGAAACTATTCAGGTAAAGAACCGACTAGAAGGATTAAAGCGAATAATAGGCAGAGTTTACACGGGGCCAGGAATAGTGCATATTTCCATCAACCAGAGAAGAAAGCCTTATAATTTATGGAACATCATGTAGAATACTAAGAAGGGATTTGCCTTGGAAATGGAGAAAAATTAAACCTCTGCCTAATAAACACTCCCCTGGTCCTGCCTAACAAAGCTTAAAAGCAGAAGCAAGACGTAGAGGAATCAAATTGTTTCCAAGTAATTCAATAGCATCACAGAACAAAGGTCACGAATATTTATAGGACTATTAGAAATAACCAGCGCCCATCACGGTAATATTCACAGTGCCTTGCATCCAATCAGAATTAACAGGCATGGTGAGAAGCAGGAATATTCAACCCACAATGAAGAGAAAACCCAAGTCAGTTGATCAATCAATCATTGAATCAAAACTGATGCAGAACTGACACAGAAGATAGAATTAGTAGACAAAGACATTAAAAGATTTATTATTATAATGTATTCCATATGTTCAGGAAGCTAGAGGAAAGACTGAACATATTAAGTAGAGTGTGGAAGGTATAAAAAAGACCCAAAATGAACTGTAAAGATGAAAACTATGATGTCTCCAAGGTGGAAATTACACTGAATAGTACGAATGGCACATTGGACACTTAAGGAGAAACACATAGCAGTAGAAACTATCTGAAATGAAACACAGAGATTTAAAATAATAATAATAATAACAACAACAACAACAGTAGGGGCAGCTGTTTGGCTCAGTCAGTTAAGCATCTGACTCTTGATCTTGACTCAGGTAGTGATGTCAGGGTCATAAGATTGAGTCCTTCATTGGGCTCCATGCTCAGCATGGAGTCTGGTTAAGATTCTCTCCATCACAAACTAATGATGTACTATATGTTAGCTAACTAAACATAATAAAAATAAATAAATAACATAAAATAACTTAATCTGTTAAAAAAAAAATTCCTTCTCCCTCCCACCCCTCCCCACTCCACTCACCCCACCACTCATACACGTGCAAGCTCTCCCTCAAAAATAAATTAGTTAATTAAAAGGGTGAGATTTCTTTACAAATAATAATAAAACATAGAACATCTGTGAGTTATGGGACAGCTTCAGGTAGCCTAAATATATGTGTAATTGGGGAATCTGAAGAAGAAGTGGAGGCAGAAAATATATCTGAGCGAAAAATGGCTGAAATTTTTCCAAATTTAATGGAATCTACAAATCCAACAGATCTAAGAATCTTAAGAAACACCAAGCCCAAGAAACAAAACTACACCAAGACACATCATAATTAAATTGGTTAAAACCATTGGTAAAGAGAAAATCTTAAAAGCAAACAGGTGGGGAAAGCTTATTTACAACGAAACAGAGATAAACATTACAGAACATTTCTCATCAGAAACAGTATAAGCTAGAAGAAAACGGAGCAACATCTTTATAGTACTGAAGAAAAAGCCTTCAACCTAGGATTCTTTACCTAACAAAAATATCTTTTAAAAAAGAAAGATGAAATAAGGACTTTTTCTGACATACAGGAGTTGAAAGAATTCATTATCAGATGAGAAATGTAAAGGAAGTCCTTCAAGTAGAAGAAAAGTGATACCAGCTGGAAACCTGAATCTACACAAAGAAATGAAGAGTACTGAAAATGGCGACTACATGGATAAATATAAAGACTTTTTTCTTACTAATCTCTTTAAAACATAATTAACTTTTTTTTTTTTTTTTTAGAGTTTATTTGACAGAGAGACAGCGAGAGAGGGAACATAAGCAGGGGGAGTGGGAGAGGGAGAAGCAGGCTTCCTGCCAAGCAGGGAGCCCAATGTGGGGCTCAATCCCAGGACCCTGGGATCATGACCCGAGCTGAAGGCAGACGCTTAACGACTGAGCCACCCAGGTGCCCCAAAACATAATTAACTTTTAAAAACAAAAATAGTAATAATGTATTGTGAGGTTTATAACCTATGGTGAAGTAAACTGTATGACAATAGCACAAAACCAGGAGGAGAAAAATGGAAATATACTGTTGTAAGGACTTATACTGTATGTGGAGTGGTATAATATTACTTGAAGGTAGACTGGTAAGTTAAAGATGAAGGGAACCATCAAAATAATACAACAAGGAGTTGCAACTATTGAGCCAAGAAAGGAGATAAAATGGAGTCGTAAAAAATATTCAGCCCTCCAGAGAATGAGAAGACAAGCCACAGACTGGGAAAAAATAATTGCAAAAGACACATAAGGTTAAAAGACTGTTATCCAAAATATACAAAGAACTTTTAAAACTCACAATTAAAAAAATTTTAAAACAGGCCAAAAACCTTAACAGACACCTCACCAAAGAAGACACAAGATGGCAAATAAGGACATGAAAAGATGCTCCACATCATATGTCATCAGGGAAATGCAAATTAAAACAGTGAGATATCCCTACATACCTATTACGATCACCAAAATCCAGAACACTAATAACACCAAATACTATAATGGGAGAGGCAAGGATGTGGAACAATAGGAACTCTCATTCATTGCTGGTGGGAATGCAAGATGATACAACTGCTTTGGAAGGCAGTTTGGTAGTTTCTTAAAAAACTAAACATACTCTTTACCATGTGACCCAATAATTATGCTCCTTGGTATTTATCCAAAGGAGTTAAAACTTAGATTCAGATAGAAACCTGCACAGAGATGTTTATAGCAGCTTTCTTAATAATTGCTAAAACTTGGCAGCAACCAAGATGTCCTTCAGCCGGTGAATGGATAAATGAACTGTGGCACATCCAGACAATGGAATATTATTTTACACTAAGAAGAAATGAGCCATCAAGCCATGAAAACACATGGAGGAAGCTTAAAGGCATATTATTAAATAAAAGAAGTCAATATGAAAAGGTTACATACTATATGATTCCAAGCATATGACATTCAGGAAAAGGCAAAACTATGGAGACAGTAAAAAGATCAGTGATTTCCAGGAGTTAAAGGGAAAGGAGGAATTAATATACAAAGCACAGAGGACTTTTAGGGCAGTGAAACTACTCTTTATGATTCTGTAATGGTGTGTACCTGTCACTATACATTTGTCCAGAGCCATAGAATGTACAATACTAAGAGTAATCCCTAATGTAAACTATGGACTTTGAATGATAATGATATGTCAGTGTAGGTTTATCATTTGTAACAAATGTACCACTCTGATGGGGGATGTTGATAATGGGAGAGGCTATACATATGTGGGGCAGAGAGCATATGAGAAATCTCTGTACCTTTTGCTCAGTTTTGCTATAAACTTAAAACTGGTCTAAGAAATAAAGTCTGTTTTTAAAAATAATCAAAAAGAGGGCAGAAAAAGAGGAAGAAGAAGTAAAGAGAACAAAGTACAGATGAGACAAATAGAAAGCAGTTAGCAAGATGATATATTTAAACTCAGCCATATCAATTATCGTATTAAATGTAAATGGTCTTTACAACTATTTACATTAAAAGGCAGAGATTGTTAGATTGAATAAAGCAAGAGAACTATATGCTGCCTATAAGAATCCACTTTAAAATAAAGACAGAAATAGGGCCGCCTGGGTCGCTCAGTCGTTAAGCGTCTGCCTTAAGCTCAGGTCATGATCCCAGGGTCCTGGGATCGAG